CCATGCCGTGCTCTACAATGCATCGCGTACCCTTTGGGGATCATTGCCCTGCTCGACATCCGACTGTGCGAGTAGAGAGGGGATCTACGTCATGGTAAGGGATGGGAGGGAGGGGTAGGATGTCAGATATGACGCGAGCGCACCTAGCTTGTCCTCCTCCTCCTCCTCCTCCTCCTCCTCCTCCTCCTCCTCCTCCTCCTCCTCCTCCTCCTCCCCCCCTCTGTGCAGCCACCTCCTCGAGCTGACGGTGTCCTCGGCCGGGCTCGCAGCAAGGAGCGTCGACGGCGGCGGGGTGGCGAGAGGACGGACGGCGTCGGGGGGGCCCTTTTGCTGCCGGCCTGCGGCTGCGAGCTGCACCTTATAGGCGCAGCCCTCCTGCTGCCGACTCATCCTCCTACTCCTTACTCATTTGTGTTCTGCCTCCGCCTGCTCTTTCTCCCTCCTCCTCCTCCTCCTCCTCCTCCTCCTCCTCCTCCTCCTCCTCCCCGCTCCCTCCTCATCCCAGCGTCACTTGCTCAGCTCCGTACTGGAAGGCGTCGAGTGTGCTGCCCGAGTCCTTCACAAGCGTGGCAAGCCCAGGCTGTTGTCGCACTTCGAGGGGAAGAAGGCAGCTCCATGTCCTCGGCTGCGGCGCCACAGGCGCCTGAGTTTGCCGAGCGGGTCCTGGGGCCCGTGCCTGGTGAGGCCCAGGTGCCGATAGCCGAAACCTGAATCTCTCGGCTTGTGTCCCAGGGCCATCAGATGGAGCAAGGCGCTGGGGTTGTCGTTTGTACTGCGTGCCCAGCCCACACCGTCCTCCCTGGTGGCAATCTCCGCGGGCTCGAGGCTAAGTGCAAGGGTAGGTCTACTCACGCCTCGACTCGGAGCTCCCAGGCAACGAAAGTTAAGCATGCTGCTCGGGGCCTCCACCCACGGACGGTAAGCTGCTTAACCCGATGTAAGATGTGGTGGGGGCCCTGTCGCGTGGTAGTGGTGTGCGCCTGTCAAAGCCAATTGGATGGGCCCCATCCGTGTGTTGCCAGCTGGTGAGTTTTATGCCCTTGTTGGTTCTTCCCCCCCTGTGAAGGGTTTTTGGGCTTCTGCCCTCTCGTCGTCGCCCGCCGCCGATCTTTCTCCCCCCCGCATGGAGCTCCACCGACGCCCTCCCCTTCACCTTCGCCTCCGGGTCCCGGGCTTGCTGCGGGGAGTATCCCTCGGTGCGCAGCAACTTGTACAGTCGGGGCGTTGACCTAAGGAACCCTAAATAAGGAACGAGGCTCCTTTTCTCCATAAGTTAACCTTCGATTTCCTGTCGAAAACATAAGGAAAGCCTGAGGCAAGCTGTGAAACACTTAAGGAACGCGGAGCCCCTCCCCAACGAAAAGGGTTCCTTCTTCAGGGCCCCGACTGTACATTCGTCCGCCGCCACTGCCCCCCCTGCCGCATACGACTCGATCTTCCTGGCGCTGTCGGTGCACGGCAGCAAGGCGCGGGGTGGGCTTGGTGGCGGCGGGTCAGCGGCTGGCAGGCTGGCCACCTTTCCCTCACCCTGCCCTGCGCCTCCGTACTGCTCGGTAGCGCCAGGCTGTGCGCCCCCTCTCTTCCTCCTCCGCCTCCTCCGGCTCCTCCTCCTCCTCCTCCTCCGCCTCCTCCTCCGTCCTCCGTCCTCCGTCCTCCTCCTCCTCCTCCTCCTCCTCTTCCTCCTCCTCATCTTCCTCCTTCTCCTCCGTCCTCCTCCCCCTCCGTCTTCCTCCTCCTCCTCCTCCTCCTCCGTCCTCCTCCTTCTCCTCCTACTCCTCCTCCTTCCTCCCTCCAACCCTCCCTTCCTCCCTCCCTCCCTCCTCTCTCCTCTCTCCCTCCTCCGTTCCTCCTCCCTCTCCTCCCTCCTCCTGCCCCGCGCCGTCGCAGCTGTCCTGCATGGTCCTCAGGTTCTCCTCTGTCCTCGCGATGGACCTGAACCTGGCCGTCTTATCCTCGGGGCGGCCGAGACCAGGGCCCGGCAGGGTCCGACCCCATCCCTCCCCGGGCTGCTCTGCCTTCCCCTCAGTCCGGGGAGGACCAGAGAGGACCCAGACCTCCGACGCCTCGAGCAACGCCGTGCAGATTCGTTTCGCAATTTCGGGCCCCCGCCAGGCCCTGGGGCCGTCAAACAACAGCTCGGGATGAAGAGGCGGTCCTGGAAAAAAGGTCACAGGCCTCTTGGGGTCATGCATGGAGTAAATCAATGATACGTCTCCTAAAGGGACGCCAGCGACAGGGACTTCTGAGACCGCGGCGTTGCATTTTAGACCTCGAAAAGTGCGAGCGAAAGCGTCGCGCAGCGACCTTGTGGGCGAAGCCGAACGGATTTGAGAAATCGGCGTCGCCCGTCTCAGAGGTCCCTCTCCCTTGGCTCCCCTTTGGAACCACATGCATCAACACTGGGGACGCCGGCGTGTGGCCTGCCCCTTCCGCACCCCCGTGCGGCGCGGGAGCCCCTTCCGCGAGGGAACGCCCAGCCTGGCCAGGTGGGCTGCCGCGTGGGGGGGGGGGGGGGGGGCGACCGCAGAGCTTCACCCGCCTCGGCCTCGGTCGCTGCGCGAATCGAGAGGCCGCCGGGCGAACGGGCAACACCACAGGAGCCGGCCTGCGAAGGGCAGACTCATGCACTGCACCGTGGCCAGAACGGAACGGGCGAGCCACATGTGGGAGCAAGGGGGAGAAGCGAGGAGGAGAGAGTGCCACATGTGGGCTGCCGTGAGCGACGCCATGGAGAACCCTGCGCCAAGAGCCACTGCAGCAACCACATCCGACCCCACTTCGCGCAGCTTCGCGCCGCCCCCCCGGAAAAAAAGGGCACCTGCTCTGGCTCAGACCGCGAGGCGACCTGGGGGGAGGCCGGCCTGGACGCGACCTCCGGGGGCCGACGGGCGGTCCGTGCGCCAAACCGGGCCTTGCCGCGACCCACCCAGGTGCCAGCCCCGGAGCGGCGGGTCAGAGCATTGATAGTGGTACTGATAGAAGAAGACTGGGAAGGGCCAAACCAGACATGCGACGTCCTGATTCTTTCAGTGCGGCGTCCCCGGAAGTCCCGACCCTTTCCCCGGGGCCGGTTTTTCATCCTGAGTCGTTTCTTGACGCTCCCGGGGCCCGACGAGGGCCCCCTGGGGCCGAAACTAGCGAGAAACCTTCCGTCCTGATTCGCTTCTGACGCGATCATGTCTGGGAGACCTACCCCCAGAACGGCGTACCCACGGCGAGGTGTCGCACCGGCAGCGGCTCCAGCCAGGACGGGCGTCGAGACGTGGCCGTTTGGGCCCCCCCGAGGTTCTGGTCCCGAGGCCGCCCCTGCAGGGTGCGCGTCTGCTCTGGGGTACGCCTGGCCTCCCCCGAGAGGACACCTCGGCACAGACCTAAACCTTCGGAGCTCCGTGCGGACTTCTCGGATCGGCGCTGGGCCCCCCAACCCTGGGGCGCGGCGCGCGCCAGGGGCGGCGCAGGAGGCGCCGCCCTGGGGGTCTCGGCGCCGATCCAAGAGATCCGCGGAGAGCCCCGAACATCTGCTTGTGCTTGTGCCGCCCTGTCTTCTTCCAACTCGGATGTTGGTAGGCCCTTGGCTAAACATAGAGGCCTCCCAGAAGGGGGGGCCGATGGGGTCGGATGATCACGCCGCGTCGCTGGCGCATCGGCGATGCATCGGCGACGTCGGCGTGGAGAAAAATCGGGCTCCGCATCGAACCGTATCGGCGATGTATCGGCGATGCGGTGCGATCCATCGACCCCATCTCTCCGAGCCCCAAAGAACAGTCATGGGTGTGGGGGTGAAGGGTATTGGAGGGAGAAAGGGGTTGGGAGAAAGGGGTTGAGAGGATGAAGGGTATGAGCAACAACATCCAGATGCAATGAACGATACTTTCGGCCGCCTAAGGGTGAGGATGCAGGGCTGGACCAAAACATTGTTTTTCGTTTTCTTTTCGTTATGTATTTCGTGTTGCTCCACCTGTTCTCCTGCACCTCCCTGCCAAAACAGAAAACAAAACACGGCCGAAGTCCGGCAAAACAGCGTTTAGGATGTTTCCTCATTTCTCCCAGCCCCATCCTCCCAACTCGATGGAGGAGTAGGAGGAGGAGTAGGAGGAGGAGGAGGAGGAGGAGGAGGAGGAGGAGGAGGAGGAGCAGGAAGGAGGAGGGGGAGGAGAAGGAGGAGGAGGGGGGGGGAGGAGGAGGAGGAGGAGGAGGAGGAGGAGGAAGCGGAGGAGGACTAACTGTCTTCCTGACCATTTGGGATGCCTGGCCTGGCCCTCCCCGGGTAGGCCGCGAGCTCTCGCTGCCGACGGCGGCGCGGGCGATCACGGCGTCCCCCGGCGAATGGGACAGCAGGGGCGCCAGGTCCGTGCGCTGCGGCTGGAGGCGGGCTCGGGGTCCTCCTCCTCCCCCCCTCCCTTCTCCTCCCCCCCCCTCCTCCTCCTCCTCCTCCTCCTCCTCCTCCTCCTCCTCCTCCTCCTCCTCCTCCTCCTCCTCTCCTCCTCTTCCTCCCTCCTCTCCTCCTCTCCTCCTCTCCTCCTCCTCCTCCTCCTCCATCCTCCTCCTCCTCCTCCATCCTCCTCCTCCTCCTCCTCCTCCTCCTCCTCCTCCTCCTCCTGCCGAGGCAGAGGCGCCTGTGGCAAAGGCGGGAGAGGAGCAGCCTCGTGCCGGACGGAACGGGGGTAGTGAAGGGGGGTAGGCCCACAAACCCCAGGCATCTCCACTGCCTCAGGCCTTACCCGTCCTGGGCTCCAGAGCGGCGCATGTCGTGTGCCTTCCCTGAGATCCGACGCTCCAGAAAAAATTGAGCAAGCGATTTTTGACAGTTTTCGGCCTTAGGGGGCCCTCGCCGGGCCTCGGGAGCGTCAACAAACGACTCAAGACGAAAAACCTGTCCCAGGGAAGTGGTCCAGACCTCCAGGGTCCACGCACCCAAAAAATTGGCGCAGCCGGATGCCTGGGTTCCTGGCCATGCCGGGAGGCCGCATACACCGCCTCTGGGTCCAGGGTGGGCCAGGCCTGGGGCAGCGGTGTGCGTAGATCTCGTCGCCTCCCGGAGGGGAGGAGAGAGGAGGGAGGAGGGAGGAGGGAGGAGGGAGGAGGGAGGGAGGGAGGGAGGGAGGGAGGGAGGGAGGATAAGCTAGGTGCGCTCGCGTCATATCTGACGTCCTACCCCTCCCTCCCATCCCTTACCATGGCGCTGATTTTCTCTATCCGCGGACGCGTGTTGTAGCGGACCTGTGGCTCCGCGCGCGCGTGCGTAGTGGGTGGTGGTGCGCGTGCGTGCGTGCGTGCGTGTTGCGTGGTGGTGGTGGTGGTGGTGGTGGTGGTGGTGGTGGTGGTGGTGTGGTGGTGGTGGTGGTGGTGGTGTGGTGGTGGTGTGGTGGTGCTGGTGCTGGTGGTGGTGTGGTGGTGGTGGTGGTGGGTGGTGGTGGTGGTGGTGGTGGTGGTGGTGGTGGTGGTGGTGGTGGTGGTGGTGGTGGCGTGTGCGGCGCGGTGGTGGCGGGCGGATGGGCGCGCGAGAAAGAGGCCCGCGCTGGGGCGAGAACGCCATCCTGAACGACGGAGGCCAAACACCGATCCGAAAATGAGGCCCACGCTGCAGCGGGAGCACGATTCGGAACGATTCGGGAGCAGAAATGAGGCCGGCGCCTCAGCGAGAGCAGCATTTTGGAAAAAAAACGCAGGCGAAAACCCGTTTCCCGGGAATCCTGTGTAAAAAACAGTACGCGGGGGGGGGGGGGTCGGATATCTTCGGGACGCCATCAGGGGAAGTGGGAGAGTATTTTCATATTGTGGTAATTGTGGGGAGGAGGAGGAGGAGGAGGAGAGGAGGAGGAGGAGGAGAGGGAGGAGAGGGAGGAGGAGGAGGAGGAGGAGGAGGAGGAGGAGGAGGAGGAGGAGGAGGAGAGGAGGGAGGAGGAGGAGGAGGGAGGAGGAGAGGAGGAGGAGGAGGAGGCGGAGGGAGGAGGAGGAGGAGGAGGAGGCGGAGGAAGCGGAGGAGGGAGGAGGGAGGAGGAGGAGGGAGGAGGAGGGGTAGCGACTCAGCTCACGCTACTTCTCCAGACGCCCCACGGCGCCACCCGCCGCCCATTTGTCGAGGCACGCGCCGCGCGGCGTGGCCAGAGCACGCTGCACGCTGCAGTGTGGCGCGGGGATTGGACTAGGAACCCTCGAGTGGATGAGGATTCCAGTGTCTGGAAGCCGGTGTAACTCCAATCGTGGACCGGCCATACGTATCACTGCCGCCATCATCGGATATGCAATCCCCGCAGGGTCCGAACCCTCCTGGGCACACTCCTCAACCGACGCCCCCACCGTACTCGTGCCCCCCCTCTCTCTGCCACCCACCCGTTCCGCCCGACCGACCCGACAGCTGTAAGGCGAGGCCATCAGACCAGGAGCACAAGTGCACCGCCGATAGTCTGCCCTTCTCCCCTCCTCCTCTTCCCTGCTTCTCTTTCCTCCTCCCCCCTCCCCTTCCTCCCTCCTCCTCCTCCTCCTCCTCCTCCTCCGCCTCCTCCTCCTCCTCCGTCGACCCCTTCCCCCAGGGGCTGGCGTTTGATCCCGAGCAGTCTCGGGATCACCCTGGGGCCCGATGGCGGGGGTATCCATCGGCCCAGACTGAAGAGACAAGCGGGCTCTGGCGACTTTTTGTTCCCGCCCCTGGGCCTCGGTCGACCCCCAGGCCCGTGCCAGAGCGCGTCCCGACCAGGATCTTCAGGCGAACCTAGCCGCGGCGACGACGCCGCCCCCCACCCACGAGACTTGTCAAATAATACCATGCGGGCCACTCGCGCGCGTCGGCCGCGCGCACATGTCGCAATCCTTATCACAACCCTTTTATTTCGGCGACGCGAAGATGCCATCATCGTCATCGGCGTGATTAGCATCGGCGCCGTCATTGGCCTTGTCGACGTCATCGTCATCATCATCACCAGCATCGCTACTATCATCATCGCGTCCACCGTTGTCGACGTCGCCCAGATAACGCGCCCGCCCAAGTCACGACTCGCACTGAAGTGCCCGCGCGTCAGCGCGGCCTGCGAGACGCGCTGGGAGTGCCCAGCAGTCAGCGCCACCTCGACCGCGTCAGGCGGCGTCAAACTAGATGGCGGCTCTGCGCGCGAGCATGCGCGGGCTGGCGCGGCCACAACATGCTCCAGCAAGCCCCAAAAACTAATCGCAATCGCCGCCGCATGGGTTTTGCAAAACAATCTGTGGGTGGGTGGGTGGAATGACTGCGCGAGCAGTGGAGTTGACAACTCCCGTCCTTTTCAAAGTTCATGGCACCATAGGTTGTTCCACGTAGACTGCACAACATGTATCGCACACAGTGTGGGGCCCACGCTGGCTAACAGTCTCAGTTTTCGGCCTCTGGGGGCCCTCGCTGGGTTCGGGATTGTCAGAAAAACAAGCTCAAGACGAAGATCTGGTTCTGGAGGAAACACGTCCAGCCTTTGGGGGGTCACGCCTTGAAAAAATCACAACGCCGAGGGTCGGGGCAGGACGGCGCCGACCACGGCGAGCGGCGAGCGGCGATCGGCGGCGGCAAGCGATGGCGGCAGCGAGCGGCACCGGTGGCGGCGGCAGCGGCGGCGGCGGCGACCGACGGCGACGGGCGGCGTCGGGGGCGCAGGTGCTCAGGGCCCAGGCGTCGAGGGTCGACGTTTCTTGGTGGCGTTTCGCCGGAGGGTTCCACAGTGGGGGACCATGACAGGAAACACCCCACGTTTTGTCAGGGTTCCCGGGGTTTCTTTGGCTGGAGTTCGGCGCGGGGGGTCGCCGCCATCCCGAAGGAGCTGCAAATGCCAGGGCCCTGAGTTTCTTGGGCGTCCGTCAGTTTCGGGGCGCGCGGCGCGCGCCCGAATCTCCAAGAAACTTCCGGGCATTCGGGATACCTTGGGTTTCTTCGTTTGCAGCCGAAGTGCAAGAAACTCAACCGTGGGACCAAGAAACCTCGGCGGATTTCAGGGATGGGTTTCTTGCGGTGGGTTTCTTGTGCATCGACCCCCACTGTACTGGAGGTATTGCTTGTTTGTTGCTGTTTTCCATATCACACTGTTCAACAAAAAACATGCAAACAAGGCCCACAGGGGGACGGGGAGCTAGATCGCCCAGTCCGGCAGCCATTTCGCTTGAGACTTCCCCGCGATGTATTCAAGAATTCTGCGCTCGCCTCCATGCCAGCTGCAATTTTGGCCCAGACGGCCGCGATCCCCGGTTCAAAACACATTACCGTGCACCGGGCCATGCTCTCTTCTGCCCCGCCTGCCAGCGTTCAGAGGATCCTTTGGGATATCTAGGAATGCGCGTCTTTACTAGCCGACCTCCTACTCCTCGACACGCCTTTTCCTTTTTGCTGCAATTGCGGGGCCTGGCGGGGGTGATTATAGGGAGCGTTCGTTCGGGGCCTCGTTCTGGGCCTCTTGAGGAACGAAGGGAGGCCCCCCACAGCGCGCGCGCAGGGGCGTTCGAATGATTTCGACATGCGCGCGCGAAGGACCCGTTTAGCCGAATGTGACTGACATGGTGAACAACCAATGTTCCCAAACGCGCGAACGTAGGTTTGTTTGACAATTCCTGCTGCGAAACCAAGAACAGCCTGCTTTCGGGGCGCTCGATGATATAATCCGTGCGAAACCAGAAGTTGTTGGAGGACTCCGGCATGCGTGCGCGACGACGCGCGCGTGCACTTCGTTCATTTTTTACAAAGGGTTCTGACGATAGCACGCGCGCACGAGCGTTCGAAGGATTTCGACACGCGCGTGCGAGAGGCACGTTTGGTAGCATCCGATTAAGATTCTCAACCGATGGTTTTCCTAGGAATTCGCGAGACCGCGGGCGCAAACTGTTTGGAACATCTCGGTTGCAAAACCATTGTTTTGACACGTTTTCGGCGCACTCGGTTTCGAAATCCTCACGACACCTGGTGTGTTCGAAAGATCTGGCATGCGCGTGCGACGACCCGCGCCTGTGCACTGCGCCCCACGTGCTGCAAAGGGTTGATGGCAACTGATGACTTGTGATGAACGAATGCACGCGCAAAGTATGTTTTGAAAAGGATGATGTGGGTGTCGATCAGCGACTGCCTGGGATGGTCTGTATTTATACTTCGGATGGGCGAGTGCATAGAGTCATCTACGACAAACACTACGAAACAATGAAGCGCGAAAATCCAGGGGAGGCTCCTAATCTTTTAATAGGCACGAGAATTGGATTTGACTGCGTCGTGCGTGACCACCTCCCATGCTCGCGCAAACATCCCACCCGCCGACCCGCAACCCGTTTAGCAAAACCGATGCGGCGGCGATTGCAATGGCTCTTTGGCGCTGGCTAGTGCGTCGCTGCGGCAGCGCAAACGCGCGCAGGCTCTCGCGCAGGGCGGCCATCTAGTCTGGCGCGACCGACGCGGCCGCGGCGGCGCTGACAGCTGGGAACTTCCCAGCGCGTCTCGCAGGCCCCGCTGACGCACGGGCACTTCAATGCGGGTCGGCGAATCGCGCGGGTGCAACATCATGGCGACGCCGACACCGGCAGACACGAGGATGATGATAGAAACCATGCTGATGACGATGATGACAATGACGACGGCGACGGCAATAACGGCGCAGGTGTGGATCACGCCGATGACGATGATGGTGTCCTCGCGTCGGAGATGAAGGTTTTGGAAAAAATCGACATGTGCGCGCGGTCGACGCGCGCGACTGGCCCGCATAATATAATTTGACAGGGATCGTGCCACCCCAGCACGCGCTGGTTAAAATGACCAATGGGACACAAGCACATGCAACATGCACATCAACAGGGGGATCAGTCTGGCCTCGGGGCGGTGATTCATAACTCCTTTTCGGAAAGGAGAACCTGTGATGTACAATCTATGTCGTGCATTTTCTGTAGAACAACGCATGCGGTGCAACCCATGTGGTGCCAAATTATTTTCACAAGCGAACTGACAACTTCCATGTTCTCGCGACCGTCCCACCCACACACTCGCAATTTGGCTTGCAAAACCATGCGGCGGCGATTGCGATGAGCGCTTGGCGTTGGCTGGTGCATCTCTGCGGCCGCGCAAACCCGCGCATGCTCGCGCGCACAGCGGCCAGCTAGTTTGGCGCGGCCGGCGCGGCCGCGGTGGCGCTGACCGCTGGGCACTTCGCAGCGGGCACTTCAGTGCGAGTCGGTGACGTGGGCGGGCGCGGTATCACGGCGACGCCGAACACGGTAGACACGATTATGAACGTAACAATGGTGGTGACGATGGTGGCGATCACGACGGCAAGGCCAATGACGGCGCCGATGTTGATCACGCCTGCCTATAGCGATGACAATGTCCTCGCGTCGGCGATGAAAATTTTAAAAGGAGTTCGACATGCCCGCGCGGCCGACGCGCGCTGCTGGGTTCTTGAAAATTAATGATTTGTGAAAAACGAATGCGCGTGCATAACGACCACACACCAGCCAGACCGACGGGCAGGCCCAGACGACGGGCGGCGACGAGGCGGCGACGGCGACCGTATAGCCGCCAGACCGACGGGCAGGCAGGCCCAGACGATGGGCGGCGACGAGGCGGGGACGTGGCGGCGACGCCGACCACATAGCCGCTAAACTAACGCGCAGTCCCAGACGACGGGCGGCGACAAGGCGGCGACGGGGCGGCGACGGCGACCACATAGCCGTGAAACCGACGCGCAGGCTCAGCTCAGAAAGCGCATAAGGACCCTCGAGTCTGGGGAACAACTTCCGCCTCGAGTTTCTCGAGACGTTGGAGGTCTGTGCTCGGCGGCTGTGGTTTTTGATTGACACCTCGGATGCCCGGCGGCCAGATCCGGGCACCCTCAGCACGCTCTCGGCGAGGCGCAGACGCGGGACGGCACCTCCGGCAGAACGCCTCGCCCGAGTCCCTGGGGGGGCAACCTGAATTTCAGACAAGGGCAATCTGAATTTCAGACAGGGGCCATCTAAAAATTTCAGATGTGGGGAGCGCCGCCCAAAACAAGATGTGTCATGATTTCCCTCCACGATCAACCTGGAGCGAGGGACATGCACTGCCCCGCCGTGCCCGTGACGGCGCGCCGACATGCAAGTCACACGAGCTCGACAATCGCGCGCGGGCGAGTCGATGCCGAGCGCGACAACGCGTCTGCACGGCCTACGAAAAGCCCAGACAACAAAATCAATTAGAATAATTTGATCTTGTGGGGGCCTGGTGATCATGAGGTAGTGACCAGCGGCCACGCCCCTTCGGCGGCGGCGGCGGCGTCCGGCGCGATGAGCAAAGACACTTCGTCGTTCGGCCGCACGCCGGCAGCCTCGGACGGGCCGCCCGGCATCACCTGCGGGCCGCTGGTCGGCGCCGTGGCTGTCGCCGCTGTTGGTCGTCGTCGTCGTCGTCATCATCGGCGGCGGCGGCGGGGAAGCGGGGGGGGGGGCAAGGGAGGGGGGGCAGTAGGAGGAGGAGGAGGAGGAGGAGGAGGAGGAGGAGGAGGAGGAGGAGGGAGGAGGAGGAGGAGGATTATCCCGGCAAAGCAACCTAACAGCGATGTGTAGGAGCATATCTGGAAGCATCCCCCTTAAGATTCAGATGAGAATCCAGTTGTAGAGTTCTGCTGTTCTCGCAGTCGTAGTCGCATTCGCGATGACAGTCGCAGTGGCCTGCATTAGCCTCAGCCTCAGCCTCAGCCTGCCTCAGCATCAGCCTCCTCAGCCTCAGCCTCAGCCTGCCTCAGCCTCAGCCTCAGCCTGCTCAGCCTCAGCCTCAGTCTGCCTTCAGCCTCGGCCTCAGCCTCAGCCTGCCTCAGCCTCAGCCTGCATCAGCCTCAGCCTCAGCCTCAGCCTGCCTCAGCATCAGCCTGCCTCAGCCTCAGCCTCAGCCTGCCTCAGCCTCAGCCTCAGCCTGCTTCAGCCTCAGCCTCAGTCTGCCTTCAGCCTCGGCCTCAGCCTCAGCCTGCCTCAGCCTCAGCCTGCATCAGCCTCAGCCTCAGCCTCAGCCTTCCTCAGCATCAGCCTGCCTCAGCCTCAGCCTCAGCCTGCCTCAGCCTCAGCCTCAGCCTTCAGCCTCGGCTTCAGCCTCAGCCTGCCTCAGCCTCAGCCTGCATCAGCCTCAGCCTCAGCCCTCAGCCTCAGCCTGCCTCAGCCTCAGCCTCAGCCTCAGCCTGCCTCAGCCTCAGCCTCAGCCTGCCTCAGCCTCAGCCTCAGCCTGCTTCAGCCTCAGCCTCAGTCTGCCTTCAGCCTCGGCCTCAGCCTCAGCCTGCCTCAGCCTCAGCCTGCATCAGCCTCAGCCTCAGCCTCAGCCTGCCTCAGCATCAGCCTGCCTCAGCCTCAGCCTCAGCCTGCCTCAGCCTCAGCCTCAGCCTGCTTCAGCCTCAGCCTCAGTCTGCCTTCAGCCTCGGCCTCAGCCTCAGCCTGCCTCAGCCTCAGCCTGCATCAGCCTCAGCCTCAGCCTCAGCCTCAGCCTGCCTCAGCCTCAGCCTCAGCCTGCCTCAGCCTCAGCCTCAGCCTCAGCCTCAAGCCTCAGCCTCAGTCTGCCTTCAGCCTCGGCCTCAGCCTCAGCCTGCCTCAGCCTCAGCCTGCCTCAGCCTCAGCCTCAGCCTGCCTCAGCATCAGCCTGCCTCAGCCTCAGCCTCAGCCTCGGCCTGCTTCAGCCTCAGCCTCAGTCTGCCTTCAGTCTCGGCCTCAGCCTCAGCCTGCCTCAGCCTGCATCAGCCTCAGCCTCAGCCTCAGCCTGCCTCAGCCTCAGCCTGCAGCCTGCCTGCATCAGCCTCAGCCTCAGTCTGCCTTCAGCCTCGGCCTCAGCCTCAGCCTGCCTCAGCCTGCCTCAGCCTGCCTCAGCCTCAGCATCAGCCTGCCTCAGCATTCAAAATGTGGCCAGGGAATGGAATTCTGGGAACTCGAAGAACACGAAGTGGCCTACAGTTTGCTCCGGGCATCTAAAATCATGCCCAGGAATGGAGTTCTGGGAAGTCCAAGAGCACGAAATGGCCTACAGTTGGCTCCGGGCAAACAAAGTTTATGTTTGATGCCGTTTTCTCTTCTTCGAGGCATGCCTTCTCAGAACGCGGCGGGGCTTGTCAAAAGCCCCCGCGCCTTCTCAGAAGGCGCGAGGGCTTCTGAGAGGCCCAGCCGCCTTCTGAGAGAAGGCGTGCCCCCTCTCAATTCCCTCCGGGCTCGCCGCCCAAACCGGGGCGTCTTCCGCGGATTTCGGCCTTTGCGGCCCATCATCGGGCTCGTGAGGACCATCCAAAAAAAGGGGTCTGGGACGAAAGCCTACCCCCAGGAAGGGGGCCCCAGACGTGATCGCGTCGTAAAGAGATCGGGGCGACGAATTTTTCGCTATTTTCGGCCCCTGCTGGGGGCCCTCGCCGGGCCCCGGGAACGTCAAGAAACGACTCAGGATGAAAAGCCGGCCCCGGGGAAGGGGTCGGGACTTCCAGGGATGCCGTCCTGAAGAAATCAAGACGTCACATGTCTGGGATTCGGACCCGTGGGGCCGCGCACAGAAAAAATCACGTGGCCGCGCACTGAAAAAAACACGTCCTGGGCCGACCGGCGTGAGGTGAGCAGTCGGCGATGCATCGCCGATGAATCGGCGATGGGCCTTCGCTGGCGAAGCCGCGCGTTCCTGGGCGTGGTGTGGGGCGGCGATGGCGTCTGGGGGCTGGCGTTTCCAGCCCTTGGCCGGTCCCCCCCCATGTTGGCGCCCGTGAACATGGCGCGCAAGCCGTGCGGTGCGGCACAGCGGGGAAGACCGAGCTCGGTGACCCTCAGGACGTGTGTGAGCGCTAACGTGTGCTTGTCCACCGGCACCGAGATGCGAGGCAGCAGAATGAGGGCCGACACGGGCTGCGTGCCATCGGGGTGTAGCTCAACTGGGTAACACACGCACGCGCACACGCATCCACACGCGCACACACGTGGGACGCACAGAGACATGCTAGTACTATATGTTTTCCTTGGCGGCGTGCGTGCGAGCCGAACATATAGTATACCCATATTGTAGTATATCGCTTCCAGAGCGGTGTGGCCAGAAAGCGCCTGACACGACGCATATACTAGAAGATTTCTCGGTGACCGCGTCGCCTCTGGGGAGGCGGCGCACACATAGTATTCGTGTGTTGGGGTGGCGCTGAACACACGCACGCACGCACGCACGCACGCACGCACGCACGCACGCACGGCACACGCACGCACGCACGCACATACACATACACATACACATACACATACCCATACACATACACATACACACGCAACACACACACAAACAACCACACACACACCCACACCCACACCCACACCACACCCACAACCCCACCCGCACGCGCACTCACGCACGCACGCACGCACGCACACGCACACGCAAACACACAGACACACACAGACCACCACCAACAACAACACCAACAACAACAACATCATCAACAACACCATCAACAACAGCAACACACAACAACACACACCAACACACAACAACACACACAGACACACACAGACACATACACAAACACACACATACACACAAACACACACATATACACAGACACACACACAGACACACACAGACACACACACACAGACACACGCACAGACACACACACCGACACACGCACAGACACACACACACATAGACAGACACGCAGACACACACACAGACACAGACACACACAGACACACACACAGACACACACACACAAACACACACACAGACACACACAGACACACACAGACACACACAGAGACACACACACAGACACACACACAGACACACACACAGACATACACACGCAGACACAGACACACAGACACAGACACACAGACACACACACAGACACACACAGAGACACACAAACACAGACACACACAGACACACGCACAGACACAGACACACACAGACACACACACACAGACGCACACACAGACACACACACACAGACACACACACAGACACACACAGACACACACACAAACACACACAGACACACAGAGACACGCATACACAGCGACACGCACACAGACACACACAGACAGACACAGAAACACACACTGACACACACACACACACGGTCACACACGGTCACACACAGACACACACACAGACACACACAGACACACACAGACACACACAGACACACAGACACACACACATAGACACACAGAGACACACAGAGACACACAGAGACACACGCAGACACACACACAGACACACACAGAGACACACACAGACACACACACACACAGACACACACAGAGACACACAGACACACACAGAGACACACACAGAGACACACAGAGACACACAGAGACACACAGAGACTCACAGAGACACACAGAGACACGAAGAGACACACAGAGACACACAGAATCACACAGAGACACACAGAGACACACAGAGACACACACACAGACACACAGACACACAGACACACACACAGACACGCAGACGCACACACACAAACACACAGACACACACATACACACGCACACACACGCACACACGCACGCACGCAAGCACGCACGCACGGCACGCACATCACGCACGCACACCACGCACGCACGCACGCACGCACGCACGCACTCATGCACACACGCACACACACTCACACACACACACACCAATTCACACCAACACACATACACACCAACACACACACACACCAACAAACACACACACACACCAACACACACACAGACACCAACAGATACACACCACACACGTGTATATACACACAAACACCCGCGCTCCCACATGCTCGCGCGAGCCTGGTGCGGAATCGCGCGGTGAAGGTACTGCCCCATCACTTCACCCGGAACGGCCTGGTCCACTCTCCAGAACCGACGGCGGCAACCACGGGAGCCTGCACACGCGGGCGCGTCCTAGGCTGGTGGGCGTCTCGCGCTGTGACAGGACCTCGTCGCGCGTTGCTCGCAGGTCGCGTGAGCGTCGGTGTGCCCAGGACCAAACAGGGGCAGGCCCAGGGTGGATGGGAGCATTCGGAGAGCTGCGGGTGGGTGGTGGTAAAGGCTGGCTGCACTGAGGACTGTGCCCCACCCGTGCACCTCCCCCTCACCCACCGCCGCCCGCATTGCTTGCGCTGGCGCGCGGCCTGGGCTTAGACGGAGTGAGGATGCGAGGTCCCGCTTGTGGCGGGCAACAACAACAACGACAACAACAACAACAACAACAACAGCAACAGCAACAACAACAAACACACACACAAACGCACAGACAGACAGACACACCCACACACACACACACACGCACGTCGCACGCACGCACGGACGCACGCACGCACGCACGCACATACACACAGACACAGACACACACACACACACACAC